GCCGTAGGGGGACCGGTTGCACGACTGTCAAGGTGGGGACAACGGGGTCCCTCCAAAGAGTTGTTGAAAGGTGTTAAACAGTGAGTAAAGAACAATATGTACATCACTCACCGTGGGGTTTTAGCCCAACATGGGCTCGAAGCGAAGCGTGGGTATCTCAACGTTGAGGTCGTCGAGTGGCCTAGGGCCGGTGGAGGGCGCTCCTCCTCTAGTGGACACCAGGACGAGCGCCTCCTCATGGAGGCGGAGTACGCCAAGCTAATTGGCGACAAAGTCTAGACTAGAGTGGCATGAAGACAGGAGGAGCCCACATCCCAGCAAGTGGGAGCATGGGGAACTCCAGCGAGCCAAAGTGAATCGTATCGCTCGAGCCCGCCCTGCCAAAGATGGTGGAAAGGTGGGCCATCCGATGACCAAAAGCGTGAACGCACGGCGTCTCTCCCCACGTACGGCGCCAACTGTCGGTGCGAAATGTGGCCAACAAGTAAATATACTAGTTCAGGCAACGGGCCCTACGTCCAGTTGAGGTCGGTTGGTGACTTTATTCCTGAGCCCATATGCTCGAAGTTTGTTGTTGGGTTATAAACAAGTAAGGAATGAGAAGGGGGTGTTAGAGGCCCGGTCGGACTCTAAACCAAGTGGCCGAGAGTGATGGATGCTCAGACGTGCGCTAAGTATTTGAGCGTATGCTCTATGTGTCCGAGCTTATCAGCTGTTGAGAGCGTGTAGACTGTGTAGCTATCGAGCTCTAGAGCTGTTTTGCTGTCGTCTCCTCTAGTCATCTTGTCATCGAGAGAGAGCACATCCCCTTTTATAGTTGAAGGGGATGGCCTTACAAGTCAGAGAGAGAGTGTATACGGGCGCTACCTAGTCTTGTTGCCCACGCCATTGAGTACGGGATGGCCACCGTCGCGCGCTATACTGTTTACGCCGCCATCGCCACCTTACTGTTCATGCTCTGTTGTATCTGGTAGGCTGCACAGTGTTCGCCTGGTACAGCAAACGTCAGCACCCACAACACTGTTCATGCTCTGACACATATGGCAGGTTGTATAGTGTTTGCCTAGTATGACAAACGTCGCCGCCCACAATACTGTTCATGCTCTGACGCGTCTGGCAGGTTGTACATTGTTCGTCTGACATGGCCCGATGGCACCGTCCTACAGGTGCGCAGGGCATGGTAGGGTACGGTCCTCTATATTATGGTTGACTTGAGCGCCTTACCTTATCTGCTCCGCCTACTCCTTGGGCCCACACTGAGCAGGCGTCCTCGGTCGGTCGTTTCCAGTCGGCCCCGACCATGTCGGTCAGGAAAGAGCAGCTAGCAGAGGCCCAGTGTGTCCTCGGTCGAAGAATGGGGGTTGAAGTCGGACTATGGTCCCACCACGGCCAGGCCTTTCGGTCGGGGCTCCGACCAGATCTCCTGGCCGAAGGTGGCGGTCAGGGACCGGATCATGGTCTTGGCATGTCACTGTGTATCTAGGCCAGCCCAGTCGCGTGCTGTCGCTGCGCCGCCTGCTGGGCCGAGTTTTGTAGGGAAGCAGGTCCATTGGGAATCCCGTATTTATGAACCCGATAGATATCAAGCATTGTGTTAGTAATTGCACGTGAGTTGACTGAGTAAGTTTGCTTTAGGACATCATTCAATATTTGTATTTGCTATCTTCTCTCTCTCTCTCTCCAACCTTGGAAACTATTATTTTAAGACAATAGCTAAAGTGTCTAAGGGATGCTCCAACCATTGGCTTTTAAGTTAGCTCTAAGTATTTTTCTCATATTTTAATAGAAGAGAGAGAGAGAAGCTAGCTCTTAGTCAAGAGCTAAGCTATTGCACATATTTCAAGGTGATGTGAGAATGTCATGTGGGGCTATTCATATTAAAAGCTATGTGCTAAAAGTTAGCATTATTGGATAAGTTGGCTTAGAGCCAATAACTAGCTCTGACCATTGCGGGTGCCCTAAGGGCACCCCTAACAATTGAGTTAGCTAACTAGCTCATAAGTTGCCATGTCATTTTAGAGCCAACACATGAGACACCTTCTCCAGTAACCTATCTCATATAGCACGCAATTTGGGCCCCACAACTTTCTTCCCCTCCACTCCGTCTTCATCCTTGTGACGAGCTGCACATCGCAATCCACCAACGTTGCAGCACCTATGGCTTCCGCGACCATCCGCACCGATCTGTCTCCACGCCGATGGCCGCTGTCTTCGTACACATCGGCCTCCGCATTGGGCCGCTGTCGCCATCTACGACCCTCCGCGCCACCGTGTGCCATGTGCGTTGGTTAGCCGCTGCCATCCGTGTCCCCTCCGCTCCAATCCACCGCTGCTGCTTGCGCCCCTCCTCCACCCTAGTCCACCGTCGACAGTCATGTCCTCTCCACCGGGCACCGTAGCAGGTAGCGCTCATCCCGTCCTTGCCGTGAAGGTGAGGGCACCCCATTTGTAGAACTCCCAATGGATCCAACTTCTCTAACGCATTCACTGTTGATGCACTATTCACAAGTGCTCTTTTTCTATTTTCTCTCTCCTCCTCTCACAGAGCCAGTGGGACATCCACTGGCTCTGTGAGAGGAGGAGAGATGAGAGAGAAAAGAGCTAATGTGAACAGTGCATGAACAATGAATACGTCAGAGAAGCTGGAGCCGGTGAGAGCTCTACCAAACGGGGCCACATGACCAAAAGAAGCTAAGATGCAAGAAGCAATATGGAGAGGGAGAGGAATGGGCGTGGGCGTGGGCGTGGAGGGCCCCAAGATTGGCCTCGAAATCCGTCTAAGCTAGGCGTGGGAATAAGAGACAGCTCTTGGGTTTCTCTGTTTTCTCTTTCTTCCACATAGACAAAATGTTGAGTTGGATCTCTAAGAGTCATATGAGATATCATTGTTGCGGGTGCCCTAAGAGCTAATTGCATAAATAAAAAGTGTCCTCAATATTAACTTGTGCCCATTAGCAAGTTTATCCTATTTGATAGGTAGGTCAGTCCTTTTTGTTCTAGGCCACGATAGGCATCCATAGGTGCGAGGCTCACTCATCTCAATCCCTTGTCCCCGATGAATCCTGCAGGTATGATTTGGCATCCACATATATTGCTAGCGGGCGTGATGCACACAAGCATTCACACCCACGGGTCCAACCGCCATCCCTATCCGTCACGTGTCAATGAAATAGCGACAAAAACCTAGTCTATAACTTTTATACTTTTAAGAAAAAAATAATTCTTTTTATTCTAGCCTTTATAAGAATTTTGAACTCAAGCATCTATTATGACAAAGTTCAATCTCTAGCTGATGAAGTAAAGTTCTCAAAAAGCACAAAATGGAAGTATCGAATGAACTTTGGGAGACTAAAAACCTATTAGATCATGTGACCTTAACTTAATTTTTTCGGTTCTCTATTGATATTTGTCCGTTTCAAAATGTCCACATATCCTGGTCTAGTTTCTGATCCCTGTTTTTTCGAACCTGAAATATAGAAACAAGAATGAGAGAGAGGTTTTCACGTGCGTTTTCTCTCATTTTCATTCCTATATATCCCTTGTGTCAATATGTATCTCAGATGATTCTAGTCGTCTAGTTGGGTTCAAGAGGATGGCGCTGACACCCCTCACCATACCGGCTAGGGGCTAGGTGGGATTGTGTCAACGGGTCAACGCCTAGGTGGGATTGTGTCAACGGGTCAACGCTAGAAGGGATGCGTTGCGCACTATGTGTCGCTTGACGCTGCATGACATGTGCCATTCGAGGCCAGCTATGCGGTGCGCGGACGACCTAGGCTTCACACGGTTTGAAGAGTGGCTCCTAAGTCCTCAGTTGTAGTTGGATTCTAAGAACTCCGAGTTCCGAGTGACACTTTTCAAGTGAGGGTTTCAGCCTTTAGAGACCTCTAGGTCGCCAGGTCAGAGGTGTCACGATTAATTGGCTTGATAAATCTCTATTGGTTTCAGTATTTAGTGTTTTTGTGAGGATATCCAGGTACATGTTCTCGTTAAAAGTTTAGTTTTTTAAAAAAAAAACAGGTTACACTGATTCTTCGCACCGTTTTAGCGCCCCAATACACGATAAAATTGGTTTTCTATTTTTCAGATTTCTCCAATTTGCCGGGTGATCGGATCGTCGCGTCAAGTTGTTCCAGCCCGCGATCACGAGGCCGGAGTGGGCTTTTGGCCCGGTCGAAGTCGAACGGTCCCCCAGTCCCTACTCGGAGCTCGCGAGCAACTAGACGCCGGTTTGAGACTTTTCCCTGTGTGCCATTATAAAAGATCGCAATCCTCTGTGTGCCCCTGGAAAAATTCAGCGGTCTTCAGCGCCACTACTCCAACTTTTTCGGGTCCTCCATATCACTTCCGTCAGTTCAGGCTCTAACGCCGTCAAACTGCAGGTGTGAAAAGACGAAAATGCCCTCAAGTTCAAATATGTTATTAATTTTTTTTGAGCATCTTAACGACTTCAAATGGAAAAACTCAAAACTAGAAAGTTGTAGATCTCGTCGAGATCTATAATTTTTATATAAAATTATTTTCATTTAATTCCGCAAAAAAATATGATGATTTTTCTAAGATATATTAATCTTATCAAATCATATTTTTTTTGCGGAATTAAATAAAAATAATTTTTATATGAAAATTATAGATCTCGATGAAATCTACGACTTTCTAGTTTTGAGTTTTTTTATTTGAAGTCGTTAAGATGCTTAAAAAAATTAATAACATATTTGAACTTAAAGGCATTTTCGTCTTTTCACACATATAGCTTGACGACGTTAGAGCCTGAACTGACGAAAGTGGCATAAAGGACCCGAAAAAATTAAAGTAGTGACGCTGAAGACCGCTGAATATTTGTAAGAGCACACAACGATCTTTTATAATGGCACGCTGGTAAAAGTCTCCGCCGGTTTTGCCTGCCACCCGCAACACGCCGCCGTCTTCCACCCTGTTCCAAAACGGACGAGGAAAATCTTCCGACTCGCGCGTGCGGGCGGGCGCGCGCGCTTGTTGCCATGGACGCAGCGGCTGAGGAGCTCCGCGACGCAGCGGCGCCCCAAGGGCAGGTCAGTTTTGCTAAACCCTAGCACCTCGCTTAGGGGGACTTGCTAGTGGCATTACAACGTTGTAGGCTGCTCAAACCACAAATGCGCATGTTCATGTGAACTACAGCTTCTTCTATGATTGGTTTCATGGTGTTACGAAAAGCAGGAGGCTGTTGCCTCTCGCGCTTATTTTTTAGTACTTTAGGCTAGTCATTGCAGTTGCTTATGCTGGACCCTGCCGCTTAAGCATGCGGTACGTTCAGTTGACCATGCTCTCGTAATTACTAACATGTACTTGTATGCTTGTCAGCATCAATATTTCTCATAGAGAAATTAAAGCATTGCAGTTGCATATATGAACTAACAAGTTATCCTGTTTTGGTCATTATAACCACTTTGCTTGAGCATACATAAATAATCACAGCTTACTATTCTCTACTCACTGTGTCTGGAGAATAGGAACGGAAACTAGATCCTGGTCCTGTTGATAAATCTGTCCTTGTGGAACAGGAGTTTCACAAATCAGAAGCTATATTTGTTGGGAAGGTAACATTTTAGAACTTGTCCTTAATTTTTCATTTACATGTTTATTTCCAATTAATTAATGTGTTCAGCTTATCTATTGGGCCTTTCAAAGAAAATCCAGTTATTGAGCTTCTCTTGATTGTCATCCATTTGTTATGCAGATCTACAAACCTGTTAGATTTATCGAACATGGCACCAGGCTTAATCAGTGGGAAGTGAGACATGAGGGAATGCTTGTGTTATTGAAGCGTTCTGGGTTTTACCACCTATCTTTCTTGAAGAGGGTCCAGTTAGACCACACTTTGTTAAATGCACTGGTTGAAAGGTGGCGGCGTGAAATACAGACATTTCATTTGAGGTTTGGAGAAATTACAGTGCTCTTGAAGGATGTGGCAATTCTTACTGGACTTCGTGTACATGGTGCTCCTGTCACTGGCCTGACAAACTGTAATTGGGAGCAATTGTGCAGACAGCTTCTGGGTCAAGAACCTCCACAGATCAAAGGTGGTTCTATCAACATGGCATGGCTGCATGACACTTTCAAAACATTACCAGAAAGCGCTAATCAGGCAGATGTAGAGTATGCTGCAAGAGCCTATATACTGTACCAAATCGGATGCAGTTTATTTCCTGATCCAAGTGGAACTAGAGTGCACTTACGATATTTGGCCCTACTCCGTGATTTCGATGCCTCAGGAGAGATGGCCTGGGGGGCTGCTGTTCTTGCCCACCTCTACAGAGAGCTTGGAAAAGCCAGCATGAAGGGCAAAGCAAATTGCTGTGCATTTCTCACTCTTTTTCAGGTAGTATGTCTTAGTTGTGTAGTGCAGAAATTGCTCTCTTGATTGATGCTAGAATTGATGTTCTGCAAGAAACATTGCAGATATGGGCGTGGGAGCATATCCAGATAGGCTGTCCTGAACGACTAGAGAATAAGGCTCTACCCGATGACCGACCCCTTGGATGCAGGTTTTTTCTTGGTTCTTTTTTTCACCACAGATTGCTTTTTATTGCCACTTTCTTTCACTTCAATAGGTTTTTTTTGGTTCTTTTTTACCACAATATATACTCCATGATATGAAAAGCATCTGATAACTAGGTGGAATGTTGCCTTCAAGAGCCGTGAAAATGCCCGATCCATGGACCATGAGTTTTATAGGCATGGGCTAGATACTATATCAGATTGCCAGGTATGATGTGTTCCATTACTTCAGGAAGTGCGTTTGTGCTTTTAGATGCTCATTACAAGAGGAAAATGATATTACTGTAATATTTCTTATGCTTTCCAGATCACATGGGCCCATACACACCAGACCTGGTAGCTGGGCTTCCTGCAATATGCACATTTGGATCTGCAGTTTGGCTATCAAGGACTCCATTAGTATGCTTCCAGATAGTGGAAATGCATGTGCCTGATCACGTCTTGCTACAATTTGGAATGTTGCAGCACATACCAGACCCAGTTGAGGTTGTTGAACGTGTTACAATGCAGGGTAAAGCTGATCAACATTGGCCTACTTACCATGATAAGTACATTAAGGAATGGGAGAACAGGCTCATCTCTGTTGTTAAGCACCAGGAAACAGGGACTTCAGATCCTACTCATGCAAGGAATTGTTACCTAGAATCGTATTGGCGAATTACACGTCGTTGGATCTCCACTCCAGTTGAATGTCCAATCATATCCTATCAGTTATCTGGGCATACTGATAAAGTTCTGGTAATACTGTTAAAATGGTTTTTTCGATCTGTCTGTGTTGAGTCGAATGAATACATGTCATGTCTCGTTGATGAATGTTTTGGACCATAAGCAGGTTGATTTGGTAAATACAGTGCAGGGACGAATTAGAACCTTATTACAAAGTGAAATTGATGCAAAAAGGATGAAGCAATCACTTATTGACATTGATTTGTACATCACTGTTAAAATGGCGGAGGCTAAGCAGGTTGTTCTCACATCATGACCTTATAAATCTAGTTACTTAAACCGCAAGAGAGAGGACATGCTTATGTCTTGAATTGTTGTGCAGATTATGCAAAGTGGTGTCCAACTGGAACAGGAATTGGAAGTGCTAAAACAGCCACAATCTCTCTAAATATTGTGGCTCCTACTCAAGCTACTGTTACTAAGATGGAACAGGTTGGTGATGATCATGTCGAGGGAAACACTATACTGAAGTTGGACGAAATGATGAGAATTCAACCCACGGGAGGTACTCCTGATTTAGCACTTCTCACAACAGGTGACACCACAAATAACAAAACTGAAGATTTGCATCCTCGAGAAGACCCTCTTGATTTAACCATGACAGAAGTAAATCTTCAGGACATTATTAGCACCCCTTTAGAGGATGCTATGATTGATATTATGAACACATCCTCGGAGGATGCTACACCAGAGGATATTTTAGATTCAGATGTGAAGGATGGTTATGCGTTCATAGAGGCTGTGGAAGTGCAGGAGACTGTTGTATCTATGGACAGCATTAAAATACCCAAGAAGGTTACAGCTGAATTGCAGGAGTGTGCTGGTGCACCTTTGATTAATGGTAAAGTGGATGAGGTCATTATTACTTATTAGTGTATTAGTAATGTATTAATGTACAGTTACATGGTGTAGATCACTCATATACATCTTGGTAAAATTGCAGGTCAGGGAACAGTGTGCAAAACTTCAGTGCTTCCAGAATTCTACAAGATCTCGAGTGTATCATCACACAATGAGCAATTGCAGAAAATCACTGGTGCATCTGAGAATGATGTAGACACAAGAATAGAGAATGGTACAGGTGAGGGAACGATCAGTCAACCCTTCAATGCCATCGGACCTGGAAAAACCTTGAATACGTCTATGAACAAAGAATTAAGTTCAGTGCCAGGTGATGTCGAACCTCCCTCTGGCTCTGAACAGGAAGAATCTGCTGCTGTAGTTTCAGGGCGCAATGAACTGCAAGATGCTATTCAGACAAAACCTGAGGACAGTGTCATTCAGGGTGGAGTCAATGCTGTGCAAAATCATATGTTTCAAGAGAATGGCAAGGACCCAATTGAAAATGGCCCTTCGAACCCTGCAGTTGTGCAGAAACCCATTGCTATACCTGCTGAAGATTTGCTTATCACTAGTGTTGGAGAGAGAACTCAGAGAAGTGTTAATTCATTCACTGGAGAAAAGAATGATACGATTGTGCAGAAAAGAATGATACGATTTGCTGGCGTTGAGGACCATGACAATCTAGGTCCAAATGAAATAACTAAAAAGAGAAAATTGATGGTTACTTCACATGAAAATCCTGAGATCCGTTCAACCATAGAGCCTAATAAAATGGGAACCGCAAAAACAGAGGAGAAAAGACATCAGACTGTAAGAATTGGCAGTGGCCAGTTAATAGCATTTACAAGAAGGAAAAGAAAGCACTTATGCAGTCATCGCCCTGACTCCTAATTCTGTTTTGTTATTGTATAATGTATGTGAATTCGTCGTTTTCACATTTTTTGTTGTTTTAATATATGGAGTATCCACAATTGTTTATCCTCTATCCTTATCAAGCTATGATGCCATGGTAATTTACCTTTGTAATTCATTCAATGCGTGCACACTCTTGTATGCTGTACATTCCACTGCCACATGTGTTGTTGAAACATTTTGACTGTTCTTGCGTCATGAGTTTGTCAGATTTTACAAACTCTTTGGCATTCAAACAAACATTGATGTATTTGCGGCTGAATTGGTTTACTTTGCCCTGAGAAAGATTGTTCTCATTTGATTCTCGTATTTGTTTGTCCTAGATATGCAGTTACATATCACCAAATCAGCATGTTTTGTATCTGAGCAAAAACTTGTGCTGGATTTTTTCTTTCTTTCAAGACTGCTTCAGTATATCTGGATGTTCAGCTTCATATTGAAAGGTGTTAATTCTCGTATTTGTTTGTCCTAGATATGCAGTTACATGTCACCACATCAACATGTTTTGTATCTGAGCAAAAACTTGTGCTGGATTTTTTTTTCTTTCCAGACTGCTTCAGTATATCTGGATGTTCAGCTTCATATTGAAAGGTGTTAAATACATTTTTGGTCTTCTGGACTGACAATGCCAGTTCAATTCATCACATCTCATGCCTGATTTCAGACTGCAGACTATGCGTCAAGGCTGTGAGCCTGTGGCACTGTTCTTTTGATTTCAGCAGACTGGATGGATGTTGGGTACTTGCTGAGACGCAGCTGACAGGTAATTTGATTTATCTGCAAGGGCGTCAAGCGCAGGAATATCTGAACTGAGATGTGACTAGACGTCTGGACTTACTATTCTTCCTGTAATATTCACTGACTCTCTTCACCTTGCAGGAACCAAGAATCGAATATGCAGTCTTCAATATAGAAAAACGTGGCGCTTTTCTACCGCTGCAGCCTGCTGTGCTGAGCTATCCCTACATACTATACCAGGTTTCGTCCAAAGCCAAAATGCATGTATTAATAAGGAGAGTTAGAGTTACATGCACAAGAGGTGCTCACATCACCTTATAGCTGGCATGTATTACCGTTCACTTCAATAAGTTCTTGTGCGTTCTCGGTTCTCCTCCCCTATAGGAAGCATGCACTAGATGGCCAAGGCATTTGGATTTTTGCCACTCCTGTCGTTGCTGAATGCTGCAGCCTCAGGGTCAGTAAGACGAGACCAATCCCCCCAACATCTCCAGATTTATCACGTGGAGGAGACACGGGACAGGATCACAGAAAGGTGCTGTAGCAAGATCAAGAGGCGCCACCAGCTAATCAGCCACAATGATTCATCTTGTGTCGGCCGCGGCTTCTTCTCCTTCAATGACGCCGTTTTCGGCCGGGCACAAGGTCACAGGCGTCCGACGGTCCGAGTCGCGTCATACGGACTCGTCGTGTTCGCTGCGGGTTTCGGGTAAATCGATGTCGCCCCACGGCATGGGCATGGGATGATGGCTACCGGCACCAGGTGGCCTCTCGGCGCAGGCAGAGGCAGCTGTGCAACCGTCGGTCCCGCTCGGGCGCTGCTGCAACAGCAATGATGGCTACCCCGCCTCGTGCCCGTGAGTGCAGTGAAGCGACCCGATTCATTGCCACGCCCTCGCTTTCAGCATTTTCTGCCTGCTCTGCTCCCTTCGTGTGCATCAGGTGCCGACTTGTCGTGATCCTTTAGGCCCCGTTCGTTTTATCAGGATCGACTGGCAGGAAGAGTTTCTGGTCGGAATCGCTATTTAATTTGTATAAGCTTTCAGTAGATGGAATTATTCCTGGCGTGGTTTTGCCTGAACCGAACGGGCCCTTATGCTTTCACTGAAACCCAGCCTGGTGATTCCTCAGTCACCACTGACCACCGCGCCATGTGAATTTGCACAGATTGTGAAGCAAATTGAGGGCATGGTTTGTGGCCTCGCGCTATTTCTGTACCAGCTGTATTGGTTTTAGAGCCGCGTAATTCATTTTTTTGGACGCTTCGAAGCACCGGCCAGACCAGGAGGGACAGATCTTGTCTCAACGTTGACGCCAACAGACCTGGATTCATGTACGAACCGACGAACAAACCATATCATTTGGGTGTTTAGCCATATCATATGCTACAACAATCATGGGATACCATTTGCAGTTGGAACGTTGCACGAGGGCAGCCTACATCCACGCGCAGTGAGCCCCAGTCGGGTACTTGTATCGGCAACAAGTAACCATGTTCTTAAAAAAAAAAGTAACCATGTTACTCCAAAGATCGAAGTAGCGATGTGTTTTTTTAGGCAAGCAAACTAATGTACCGCTAGAAGTTATATTGCATTTCCATGGTAGTCGCTAGTCATCTGATGATTAACAAAATTAACCCAATCTAGCTAGTTAGCATCTGACCTAATCCTCTGCTAAAACCAACAAATGAGATACATCTATACACATTGCATGCCATCTGTTCTGCATTGGTTAGCATACATCAAATCAGCAATCAGAACTAGAGGGCCATATCCGCCAAGACCACTGGAACTAGTCTAGATAGCATCTTCAGATGAGTCAGATTGCTCTGTGGGCACCAACCAAGCCACCAGAATTTGCAGTTACACCTACATCCTTCGGTTAGTGGGGGATTATAGTAATAGTCTGACTAGGGATGCAGGGAGCTCCTGTGAGTTGTCTGTACTCTCTGCCCTTGTAGGCTACAGTATTTGACCTGTTTCAGCAAGATTATTGGGTTGTGCCCATTAGAAATGCTATAAATACACATAGGGCCAGAACTGGAAGCGGCTGGATTGGATCTCAGTACTTACATGCACTGTTGCAAGTGTGGACAGCAATTCTCTGGACTGCTCCATTAGAGTGCGCTCTTGGGTAGCAACTTTGGAAAGATCAGAAACCAAAATACTTGTTCCAGCCAGCTGCGGACCGACAGATGATTTCAGTCAAACAAAATAACAAATGCAGCAACTTGGAACAAATATTTCACCAAATGTAATCCTCTCAAAAATTGCTTTGTGCCATATTATTTTTGTGCAAGCCTCACAAGAGCTCATAGTTGTTTTTTTCCTTTTTGGTATGGTGATGGCAAAATTGATTACTAAGATAATTGGAGCTCTTTGAAATGCATTCAGTTGTAATATCTTTAATTTAACCCCCCCAACTAGCAAATGCATGAGGATGTTTACTCTACAGACCCTCGAGAAGAGAGAAATCTCCTATGCTTCAGAAACTGGAGAATGTTTCTAAAGCAGTCTGATCAGGAAATCGGCTGGTTGGGATCAAGTCTCAACCAATCCAACCATCCATTGTTAAGCCTTATTATGCAGGTTGCTAGTTCTTTTATACGGCCCACGTCCATAAATTAAGATGTAGTGGTTGACGAGCAACTAGTGACAAAGAAAATGAAACAGGAAAGCAATTCAATGTACACAGCACCTTAGCCAATAATGAACATATTGAACTTCCTATTGTTTGCATGATGTCAACGGCAGAACCAACGGCATTTTTCACATCTTGGATATCAGCCTGCAAATACAAAGTAGCAAAGAAGAAACTGATCTTTAATACACAGAGAACAGAAGAGAAACATATATAAACAAGTCTGTACAATGGTGTGCTATTAACAACCTTTGCTCCATCAGTAACAGGAAGGCACAAAATGCTGGCAGTTAGAGCCTCCACAGTTCCAGATAGAGAATCCACATAGTCCCTCTCTAATGAAGACCATTCTTCTAGATACCCCATCTGTATCAAGCAATTTTCGTTAGATTTTTAGAAACAAGGCAAAGGTAAAAGGTGAATTACTACCAGGTTAAGATATAACTAGCTAAAGTAATTAGGTACTATAATAGCTTACAGTTATATCTAAGGCCCCACTACAGAGCCCACATGCTGGTGAGCTGGTCTTCCTTTTTAACTTTACAGTTGTTCATAGTAACTTCCTTTTTAACTTTACAGTTGTTCATAGTAAAGGACCATGTCTAATCTATTGAGCAGAGGATAAGCATCAAAACGGCCAGCCTGCAATTGTGCAGATATTTGAATATGTGTCCAGATGGGCGATGGCCCTGTGCTTATAACTAACTGGTTCTCAGCTTTTTCAGGGACTTCTTTTCCTTTGGCAAAATATTATCTTGCTAACATTGCCTGGCAGGCTAGCAATTGTCGACCAGACATGGAGGATAATTCCAGATAATCCGATGAACTATCAGAAAGCAAGGTTTCTAAAGTTTAACAGAAAAATGATCTTGCAAAGATATGAAAAAGGCAGCAAACTACTAGCAGTCATGCACTGAAAACTAAAATTGATTATTACCTGTCCCTTTAGAACTGTCATGAGCTTCCAATTGTTTCGGTATAACTGTAGCTGGAACCTCTTAAGAGCAACAGATTTACGCATCCCTAGGGTAGTAATCCATGCATCAGATAAGTACTTCTGGTGAAAAGGCCAAAGAAGAAGGGTTATTGAGAAGTAATGAGGTAGAAAAGGCAATCTTAGCTACACAAATAATATGGTTGAAATTAAGGCTTTTGCCTAGCATTTTTAATTGAAATAGTAGTACTTTCAGTTAACCAATAAGATAATAAAAATGAGTAGCCACAGACTTCCATTTGGCAATGAAAAGGTGCAGTATACCTACTTCCATTCTAAAAAGTAATGGACATGACATATATTTTAGCATGCCAACTGATACTTCTCGAGCAGATCCCTACTGGTATTAGTTTTGTTTACAGCTCCAACATAAAAGGCATGTCATTGTCAAATCTTTCCTGGTTCTTTTTGCCTTTCCAACTGTGTCATATAGTTTTTGCGTGTGTGCGACAAAGACCAGACAAGATGCTTTCTATCTAGTATTCTGATATACATAGATTGCCCGGTTTGCCTTTATTGAAGAACCTACTCCCAAGGAACTAAAAAACTTCGATAAATATGAAGTTCAGATAACATAAACTATGGCACAAAAGACAAAGGTAGTTGCAACCTATATGATGTGTAAACTTCACAGATTTACTTTCTGAAAATAAGTGAATCGGAAGATAAGTGCGAGCACATAGCTCCTGCTTATAGGTAGCTCAGATCGCAAATGTTGGCCTTGAATTTAATCGATTACATCTTACACAAACCAATCAGAATTTGAATAAATCAAGCAAGTTATAAAATCCAAATATACAGCCATGTATACATACTACTGAATTCTGAGATGACATCAATATGTTAATTATACAGGAGGAATACATTTCACATATTAGACAGAAGTCCATAATTGTTGTCAATGAATATACTCACCTCTGCTGTCAATTTTTGTGCAGCAAGTGCAGCATCAGCCTGCGCATTCACACACCGCCACTGCAAATGTCGATTGGATAAAATTCTCAATAGATGCTCACAGTCAACCTTACTACGCCCATGCCACCTCCTCCTCGCTTCCCCATTCAAAGCATAACCAGATGAGCTTCTTCCCTGATGATCCCAAGATGAAGTGCCCGACCCCACATAGTTTCTCGCCCGTGATGGGCTTGACATCCTCCTCGATGGATTGCCTGTAAGCTTACTTGGTGAAGATTGCCTGACTGACCGATTCAGTGGAGATGAAACAAAGCCATTTTGCAGCGATTTCTTGACCGGCGCCGTCCTTGGAGATGTGGCCAACCCAGAGGTATACGGCAAGTATGGCGTGCCAGGATCTGCGAATCTTTGTGACCTGCTGACTGCAGCATCCTGCAAGAACCGTGCTGGCACACTCATACCCTTTGGGGATGGGCGTGCTCTGTGCGAAATGCCAATGCCCGCATCCTGAGACCCTGAATTGCTCCCAGACGACACACTCTCTGTGTCAGACGACATCAAGTAGTCCCCACTATCGAACGAGGAACGCCGCGCCCCCTCCTCAAACACCATGGACTGCCGCAGCGACCGGACAGCAGCAAGGACGGCCGCGTCCCTCTTGTGCAAAGAGCAATCCAAGCTTTTGGTAAGCGGATTCCCCTCAAACCCCTGCGACAGCCTCGCCGACATTGGCCACCTGTGGTGAGCATGGCCCCCCTCAAACCCCTTCCCCTCTCCGGCACTGTCCCCATAGCTGGCCTCCTCCTCTCCGGCGTGATGGACCCCGCCGACGAAGCCACTGGTCGCCGCGACGGAGACGGGGACGTGGCAGGCTTCGCCTTGCTTGTCTCGAAGGAGAAGGACCGGCCCTGGAACGCCACGGAGAGGCTCCTCGTGGTGGTGGTGGTGCCCGCATTGGGTCCCCCGGTCTCCCCGAAGGCAGCATTGCCAGCCGGGCCTGGGCGCGGGCGGTCGACGGAGACCGAGCGCCTCGGCAGCGGCGACGCGAAGCGGCGGGAGGGCGTGGACGCCGAGGTCGAGGTGGAGTTGGAGCTCGAAGTCGTGGTGGTGGAGGTCGAGGTGGATGTGGACTTGGAGGAGGGCGCGAGGTAGCGGGAGGAGACGACCTTAGCCTTGGGCTTGGGCCGCGCGTCGCCGGCGCCGGTGTTGGCGTTGGAGTTGGACTTTGCCGGGGAGAGCGCAGAGGAAGCTCGGCGGCGGTGCGGGGACGGCGACGGGTTCAGCCGGGGCGCGGCCTCTGCTGCCCCGGCGGCCACCATGGCGTTCAGATCTCGCGGAATCTCCCGGTGGTTTTGGGCCTCTGGGGTTTGGGGGTTTCGTTTCGTTTCAAGATGGGGGGAGCGGAGCCGACGCACGGCAGCGGAAGTGGAGTCTGGAGTGGGAGCCAAGTGAAAACATGGGCGAAGAGGGATGGGTCCATCCGTCTCCGTCGCAAGGGCAAAAGGGGAAAAAGCGGGCGGAATAAAGGGCCGGTGTCGTCTGGTGGTGGCCCTGGTGGGGCCAGCCGAACGGAGGAGGCAGCAGCCAGCAGATCAGGTTTGACGTCCGGTGACCCCGGACCCGGCGATGGCTGCCGCTGCGGGCCTGGGCGCAAGCGCAACCGGACCATGCCGCCGGCGGTCCACTCGCACCCGCCGCCGCCCCGTGCGCCGTGCCCAGCGATTTCTCGCGTTCCGCTTACGTTTCCCTCGAGCATGTGCTCGTCTCGACGAAACGCTCGCAGAACAGAAGCGCTCATGTGCCTGGCTCGAGCTGTCCCGAAGCAATTGGTTACGCGACGACGGCGTGGAGACGGCGTAGGGAGGCGGGCTGACACCATCATTTGCCCCGACGCGCCGGCGCGAGGAAAAAAGGGGACTTCGAGGCTGTAAACAAGTGCAGGCAGGGGGGAATGTGCTCGCGCCATAATAGTTTATCCACTGCGTGATTGCCCGTTTGGACCTACCACGTGCGTACCTTGCCTCCACGCACTAACCTAGAAAAACTGAGGTTTTTAAGATTTGCATAGATACTATCTTGCCTCAGTAACCTAGGAAAATTGAAGTTTTAAGATTCGGATAGATACTATCTTGCCCCCACTAAACTAGCTTTGATCTTTTTTTAGATAGTGGACTACTACAAATCTTATACTACCTCTATCATCAAAAGAATACAACTATGGTATAAGTGTCAGTTAAAGTGCTTCATATTTAACCAAATTTTTAGTAGATAATATTCATATTTATGGCTTTAAATCAATTTATTATAAAAATACATTTTGTAATTAATCTAATGATGTTTATTTGATATTGTAAATATTTATACTTTTTTTCTATAATTGATCAAACTTGATATACTAAAACATGGCACTGTTTCATAATTGCGCTTGGGGCAGCAGGTCACCAACCAAAACACGCATGGGCAAAGTGTTACATAGTTGTCATGCCTTCTGATTTTTTTTAATGTGTGTGATCTCAACGAGAGGACATGCCGCAATGTCGTCGCAGGCTACTATCGTCTTAGCATTTATCTCTGGTTTTTCTACAAGAGACCAATCTTGGATCTCTAAGATTTTTGATATATGTTGGCATTGATTTTTTTTTACCACTGCTCTGTCCCTTCAATTACTGACAACAATGGTATCCTAGTCGCTTGACAAATGTCGATTTTTGGTTGGTCACAAACTCTATCATTCAGGATACTCTTGGAGTTGGAAAGTTGCCTCAGCCACCTTCACTTATGCCCAGTGGCTGCCCAAGTGTAAGCCCCTAAGATAGCAAGGAAAAAGTGAGGTTCTTGTAGGAGCTTAGGGAGAGTTTTTTTTTACCTCAGTACTTATAAAAAGCATCATGAGGCTTTTCTACTATTGCCAATGCCTATCTAAGCAAACACCATGAGAAGTGGTGATTGGGGGACAGTTGTGTGTTGCCATACTATTTTGATGATGTGCGCTACTTGTGGTATGATTCTTCTAGTCCTTGAGAGGGTTTAGGCCTGGTCTTACGGGATTGGACACTTCTAAACTTCCTTGGTAGTGCACTAACCTATGCTGGTTAGCTTCCAGAGGGGGAGGTCTTGATCCTACGTGCAAACAATGGGTACATACAAAACTTCTATAACTGTATTTAAAGATATTATAAATAAGAGTGGTATCTCAGGAGGTGGTTTTTGGGGTCCAAATTGGTCAACAACAATATTGATTATAAAGACATTATAAATAAGAGTGGTATTCCATGAGATGGTTCTTGACGTCCAAATTGGTCAACAACTGTATTAATTAGGGTAGAATGAACCAAGGGAGGCGTTAAATGATCATGAAAATTGTCCAAACCCAAGAGCTAGGGTTGGCTCTAGATGTTAGTGTGCCCCTGGTGGATTTGATAGATATAGTTGCTGCTCAGGTGATGTTTTACTTTGAGAAAAGAGCTCTAGAAGATAGATTTAGAACCGTGGCCTGAAGCCTTCCAAAAGGATGCGTGAGGGTAGCATTTGGACTTCATGATGGCGATAAGAAGGGGTTCTTTGGTTGTGGGTTATCATCCAAGCGAAGTGAACAACCAGGCTCTATAACAATATTATTACTACTAGTAATGTGTCGATTAGGAATAAAAGCAACCTAGGATAAATGAATATATATATGTTTAGGAAGGTGCGTCTTAAGTATACCAGCCAAAAATTCAACAATAATTCTGTAGATGATGTTACAAAGAATTTTACAAGTCTAAAATCTCGGTGAATGTGAGTATTTTTAAGGAACAAGTACTACTCCATCCATCTCATAATAGTTGTTATTTTAGCCTTTTACAATTGTCCTAAAATTAGTTGTCATTTTTACTTCTCAACACATATTTCTCTTTTTCTAATACATCTCTATTTCTCTCTTTCCTGTTTCATGTGCATCAAACTTTTTTTATTTCTTCTCAATTTTTGTGTTTAGAGCTCGAATGATAACCAGGGGTTGCCACCGGGGCTAGGGGGCACGAGCCCCCCTACCGCAGCCCAACCTTGGAGCCCCCCTAAGCCCTCCTTAAAATTTTAGTCATGGGAGAAGGTTAGGAGGAGCTTGAGGTTGAAGACGATGGCCATGCTAGTATTCAAATTCCATGTTATTAGAAAGGCAAAACAATCCTTTGCATTTGCATACAATTCTTGTTTTGTTTTTACATACATGAAATAGTTACGAGAACCACTAGAGCTAATATAGTAGATGAGCATGCACCTCCTCGTCTATTGGTTATGGGAGAAAAGGAAAAACACATTGAAAATCAACACATGGGTATGTGTTCAGGGATGATGACTATAGGGCAGTTGCACTGAGGCAATGGCTTAATCACTATTGACAATATCTACCAGTTCTTGGATGGCAGGGCCGCAACAATAGCATGCTTCTTCTGGCGCCAACATGAAAGGTCCTTGTGTGGTTTTGGTAATTGAGTGACAACCTAGGTAGACTAATTGTATTTATGTGAGATACACAAGTGATTAGTCCACAGGTACATGTGTGTGAGCAACATATGCCATGAAGGTGAAAATAGTTTGGAGATGTTGCAAAGCTCACACATGTGTTGATGAAGGAGCTCATTGCAAATGAGACATGACATTGAGTCACGTGATCAAGGTGGAGAAGATCATGACATGACTTGGCTTGATGGACTGGTTGCAAGTATGAAGGGCAAGTTGGAGGCTTTGGAGCAATGGACCGTGTGGCGGTGAAGCTTGAGCAAGACTTGGCGCTGATGGACGAAGGCAATGGTGAAAAGCAAGTGAAGTCAAGATCGATGAACCAATATGATCACATGATGATATGAAGCGGATCATATCATTGTTGATCATATTGGTGCATGTGTTGCATCAACATTGGAGGAGATGGAATGGAATGCGCAAGGCAAAGGTATAACCTAGGGCATTTCATTTCACCGGTCATAGGTGTGTAGAGAAGTTTATGACTAGGTTTAGGATAGATGGACGTACTATCAAGAGGGGCAAACTTGTTTGCATATCAGTCATCTAGTGCCACTCGAGTGATCTAACTTTGCATCGTCGCTAGGATTGAGTGGCGTGGCAAGTTGAGTGGCTAATCCTTTGGAAAATGATTGTGAAAATGCTAACACACATACACATAGTGGTGTACACTTGGTGGTGTTGGCACTTTTATAAAGGAAATGAAGTTGGAGTTGATGTGAATCAACTCGGCCATGAAACGGAGGCGAGAAGGGTTAGAAACTCCACCGGCGGAGTGTCCACCCATAGAGTGCGGACAGTCCGACGGTGCCACCGGCGCCCTATACAGAAAAGATAGGGTTTCATAGAGTGCACCGAACGCTAGTCATGCAGTGACCGGACGCTGGGGTCTTGTGCCCAGTTAGTGGTGGCAGAGAGCATGCAGGCGTCGGTCTTCGACCGAACACTGGCGCTGAAAGTGACCAGACGCTGGCAGGGTGCGTCCGGTCAGGCTGACGTACGGTGATGTAGGCGACGTAGAGAAGGTGGAGAAGGACCGGACGCTGTTGCTACGTCCGATCATGACCAACCGGACACATCCGGTCACAGCTGGTACCTTACTGGAAACGACCAGACGCTGGGGTTGTGAAAGGTCCTTGTATGATTTTGGTAATTGAGTGACAACCTAGGTGGACTAATTGTGTTTATGTGAGATACGCAGGTGATTAGTCCACAGGTATATGTGTGTGAGCAACATATGCCTTGAAGGTAAAAATGGCTTGGAGATGTTGCAAAGCTCACACATGTGATGATGAAGGAACTCATTGCAAATGAGACATGACATTGAGTCATGTGATCAAGGTGGAGAAGATCAAGACATGACTTGGCTTGATGGACCGGTTGCAAGCGTGAAGGGCAAGTTGGAGGCTTTGGAGCAATGGACCGCGTGGTGGTGAAGCTTAAGCAAGACTTGACGCCGATGGACGAAGGCAACGGTGAAAAGCAAGTGAAGTCAAGATCGATGAACCAATATGCTCACGTGATGATATGAAGTGGATCATATCATTGTTGATCATGTTGGTGCATGTGTTGCATCAACATTGGAGGAGATGGAATGGAATGCGCAAAACAAAGGTATAACCTAGGGTATTTCATTTCACCGATCATAGGTGTGTAGAGAAGTTTATGACTATGTTTAGGATAGATGGCCGTACTATCAAGAGGGGCAAACTTGTTTGCATATCGGTCATCTAGTGCCACTCGAGTGATCTAACTTTGCATCGTCGCTAGGATTGAGTGGTGTGGCAAGTTGAGTGGCTAATCCTTTGGAAAATGATTG